AACTGAACATGTCAACCTGACGCATGTCTTCCATTTTTCAGATCACGAAGCTGAAGATCGACAGGAACCCGTTCGCCAAGGGTTTCAGAGATCCAGGAAGGAACAGGTAAAAGAACCAGAACCAGAACAGGTTCTGGTCCGATCTCTCTGTTGGACCTGGGGATGATTTAAGGTTCCACCCCAGGAAACCAGATACCACATAAAACCTTCAAAATAAAGTCGACCAGTGGAGTGCAGAGTTTCACACGACTCACGGCCGATATTTTAAATACCTGAAACAACAGTTCCAGTGTTGTTACAGTACGTGCTCTTCCTGTGTGTGTGTGTGTGTGTGTGTGTGTGTACAGAGGTGTGTTGGACGGTTTACTGGAGTCGTACCCCTGGAGGAGCCCTTTGAGTCTGGACTTGAAGCCCTTCACCATACAGCTCCAAGGTACTACATACATACTGCATCTGACACAGTATCACAGTATCACAGAGTACTGCACGTCACAGTACAGTTGAAGCGGTCGTCTGCTGCCACTAGAGTTTGTTCAACATGAGGTCTGCAACCCCTGGAGCGGACTATTTATTATTCATTATGGGCCAGATTTTCACCAGGAGCAGCCGATCATTTTCAAAGGCTAGTAAACAGAAGCTAGCTTCAAAACCTGGTCCAAAACACGTCGTACAGTGAACTGCGAATACTCCTAGAAGTACGTGGGACACGTTGTAAGTTGCGTGTTTTAGGCTACGAGGTTGGTTGGTGTTTTGTTGGTCTGTTCAATGTGGGAGTTTTCTGGGCTACAGCTCTTAAAACCACAGTCTGGACCACTGACGTTCACTTTCAAACGCTGATATATTTAGTGTATATATTACAGTATATTACTACAGTATATTTGTCCATCGCTTTGGAAATCCATGGCCTGACAAAATACAGCAGTGGCACCAGTAAAGTACCAGATGTGAACCAGCAACCATGTACAACAGAGTGGTTTCTACAACAACCTGGATGTGAAAAAAAACCTCACGATCACAGTTTATTAGCCATAATTATGCTAACATGCTAATCATAATAATACCACAGAACTAGAACGGTCTGCAGACCAATAGGAGCTTCATACTGTACTGTACTGTAAATAATAATACCACAGAACTAGAACTGTACTGTACTGTACTGTACTGTGCTGTACTGTACTGAAGGCTCTCAGCCGCTAACATCACAGCGTCAGCGTTGCTCAGGCGTGCGGTTGTTCTATAACAGACTGTCTGTGACAACATGACATCACTGTCTTCTTCTGTCACCAACAGGAAGCTCCGGTTCTCTGTCCAGCAGCGTGAAGCACCTCCTCCCTCTCTCCTCCTCCCCGTCTCTTCACCCGTTCTCCGTTTCCACGCTGACCTGCCAAGATTCTCCTCTCCCCACCATCGCGCTCCCGCTCGGCTACGGCAAGACCTCCATCGCCTCCCCCGGCCTCTCCCCCCAGCCCAGCAGGGCCTTCTCCTCCCTGGGAGCGGACAAACTCCGAGGCCTGCACCCGGCCTCCCCCCTCACGGATCTCCCCCTCTTCTCTGCTCTGCAGGGAAAGAAACCCCCTCCCAACAGAGACCCCTGTCTTCGGGGTTTTTCCGGGACCACGCCCTGCATCATCCCCCTCCACTCCCCTCTTCACCCGCACGCACCGTCTCTCTTCCCTCATCTCTCTGACGCCGTCGCCCCCTACTGTCTGTATCGCTACAGCCTCCCTCTAAGTCCGCAGATCACAGCGTTAGCCCAACACGCCAAGCTGGCCGAGGACGCCACAGACTGTCTGCTGCGCCAGTCTCCGTGGCATCCCTCCCCCGCCTCCACCCCCACTGCCACCACCAACCACTGCCTATGACAACTGGCGCCACCTCCAGGCTCCGGCCCGTTGAGAATAAGACGGCAGAAGTCGCTCTGGTTCGATGAACAGATGTAAGAACTGTTCCTGGATCAGTCGACAGTCGACGCTCTGAACCCAGAAGAGACTTAAAAAGGACTAAACAGACATTTGTTTTTAGCCATGATGTATGTGTGTGGACAGACTGCATTACCAAAGCTCACCAGCAGTAGCACCTGAGGTATGTGATGTGTAACCTTCGATTCTAATTAAAGTTTTTTTTTCATATATTTTTCTCCTTGTTAGGTCATTCACCAGCTTCACAACTATATTTTCATACAAAATCTTAATGACTTTAAACTGTCAATTCAATAAATGTCATTAAAACTGCACTCAGGTCATTTACTCCACTCACTATGGACACTAATTACTACTAATGTGTAGAGAAAATAAAATATTTGAGGTATTTATACTTGATCAAACATTAATACATTAGAAAATGAAGACAAAAGTCAAAGGTGTTAAATCAGGGTCGTCAAAACTCAATCATTCCACGGGCCCAGATTTTCCTAGAACAGTCTCGTACTGACGATACCTGACCACAAATGAAGAATTTCAAAATAAAAGCATCAAGCAAAATAAGAATACTGTTACAAATGAAAAACAGGACAACCACAGACACGTGTTTTATCTGGTGGGCCACATTAAATGATGCAATGGGCCAGATTCAGCCCCCGGGCCTTGAGTTTGACACATGTTTCAAATGCAATTTCCTGATGCGGTCAAATGCATGCTGGGAGTTCAGAAATGAAAACAATGTGTAAACATTGGACTGTGTATCAGAGCAACAACGGGACAGAGGAGTTGATCTGCGTGTTTGTTAAAATGCCCTCAAATTTGAATTTAATTTCACAAATTATCAATGAAAATAATCACTTCAACTTTGATGCAGCGACTAAGACCCAGCTCCAGGCCGTGTGTTTGGACGCTGGTCAGTGTGTGGTTCTACACTAAAGTCCTGTCCCGGTCCAGGACTCCTGGTCCAGTTTGTAGTCACTTCCTGTCCATCGGCCAACAGGAAAGTCTGGGCCTGATTGAACGGCGCTGCTCTGCTCGGTACTGACTCACAGAAAGTCTTCTGATACCAAAACCTGGTCCTGTGACAGGACGGACCGGATCATGTTGCAGCAGCTCAGACGTGTTCACTGAACACGAACAAAAGCATATTTTGTGTTTCTGGAACTAAAGAGCAAAAAAGAAAATCCCGGTGTCAGGCTCGGCTGCCCCTGACTGACAACATGAGCTCATCATGATTTTAGGGGAAGAACAACAGCTGCCAGGACGGAGAGCAGCCGTTTCCACTCCTGTATTTTATTACCAATAATAGGTCTAATCAGAGGTGAAACGCTGCCTCTACAGGCAGTCGGGAACGCGGCTCCTGGCGGTCTCGTCCTCCGGACCGTCGTCGCTGCCGTGACGTGGTTCCAGGATCAACGGTGGTGTGTGGACCTGACATTCAGAGCCGTGTGGGAGGTTTTCACAGGTCCGTTCTACTGGAGCGGAACCCGAAGGAACAACGAGTCGGTGCTGACCGTGGGACGACACCGCGGCCATACCAGAGCGGGCGCAGCCGTCCAGCTGCTGATGTGATAATTCCTGCCTTCAGAACCAAAACGATTCCAACCTCCCTCTCTCCCTCCCTCTCTCGCTCACTCTCTCTCTTTTTATCTGTCAGCAGAGCGAGGGAACCGCGGTTTAGGCAAAGCAGGGGAAATGGTCTGTTTCCCGACAAACGCTCGTAACCAAACAGCAATTTACTTGTCACGGCCCAGCGTGGCAGTGAACTAATACACTGTGGACGTGGAAATAACAGGAAGGAGTGAATTAAGGAACTCGGGCCCGGGGTCTGAGCGAGCGGTCAGGTGTGCCGTCCAACAGCTTGGCCTTTGTCTTCCAGACAGACTGGATCTGTGCGGGTCGTCTAATTCTCTCTGTCAGTTCCACGTACGTCCGTGTCGGACAATCATTTTAATCTGCTCACTAAGTCCTGATCTTCCAGTTCAGACAAATTGCTCTCATACCAGAGGAGTTGAACTCTGCACCTGCCAATCCTCCGTCAACCACACGTGGGTTCATGGGTTTAAAAAGTGGGCAGGGTGAGTGGGCCACGTACGGACTGTTCTGTGTGGGTCAGACCAACAACTTCAACAACAGACATGTCTGCACACGGGATGAAAAGAAAATACTTATGACCACAATGAATGGAGAGTTTATTTAGCCCCCCCCCCCCGAGTACTACACTACGACCCCCCCGACCCCCCCAGGATGACTCATTCACGGCTGTCGCCTTAAACCTGCAATTAACTTTTGAAAATTTCAAAATAACTTCAGTTTCCAGCTTTGGCAAAAAACAAAACAAACAAACACTGAACCCCCCCCCCAATCCCACAATAACTCTGCACGCCCAAGGTGGTGGTCGCCACCCCCATGTTGAGAACCCTCAGCTCTAGGAGATTCCCTAGTTTACCAGTTACTGTGGTGACCCCTGACCCCCTGACTGAAGGTCAGACCAAATGTGATTCATTTTCATTTCTTTTAAACTCAGTGAATTATTTCTAGAAATGAAAATATTAAAAGCCGTCGTCTTTGTCCCAGATTTTACTTCCTCCTCCTCCTCTTCCTTCACAACATGTCCATCATCATCACCTTTTATGCACCTTCAAACCTTCCAAACCTTCTCTGCAGTACCTCACTTTTACAGATGGGGGCACTCATGTGATTACAATTTCAACAACTGATCCAAAAATCCCTAAAAAACTTTTTTAAAAACCACTTCCTATTTCTCCGCCGAAACAATAGATTGGAATTCATTTTCCTTGCTTTGCCCCCGCTGCGGGCCCCCGCCCCCACTTTGGGAACCAATGGTGTAGCCTGGTAAACCCAGCTTTCTGATAATTAGTTAAAACTACATTCATCAAACCAGAGATGGACGTGAGGTGGTTCATTTACCTCCAGACGACAGAGTGTTCCTTCACGTCACACCTGAATTATTTTGATATAAAACAAAAAGACAAAAATCACAGCTCCTGGTGTTGGAGCCTCAGACGGAGTGATCGGCCGCTCGGGGATTATTTGTTCAGGACGATCTTCATCAGGAACCTGGACACTGTGGTGATTCAGTTCTACAGGATGTTGGTGGAGTGATTGACGGGAGCGACGGCAGAGAAATCTGAGCCGCGACACATTTGTTTCCAATCATGTGAAATAGCATCCTGATCCAGGAGAGAAGCTTCGCTGAGAGTCACAACGTGTAAATACACACCGCCTTCATTCGATTAGACGTCCAGCACACACACACACACACACACGTACACACACACACAGACTTCCTAATAAAAGCTGCCCCACACCAACATACCATCACTGTCTTTTTCTGCCAACTCTGACCAGAACCTCAGCCTCTGGTCCACATGATGAGGACGACTAGTTCTGACAAGGTCAGAGGTCATCCAAGAACAGGCCTCAGAGAAGTCAGGAAAACCAGTATAGACACACACACACACACACAGCTCCCTGCCGATCAGCCCTGCGTGTCTCCTGTGGAGGTTTATACCGAACACTATTTTCTCTGCAAACTCAATAAAAGCGTGTTATTTATCAGCTCAAATTATGGGATGTGACTGAGCTCAGCTGTAGAGATGTAAGTGAAAGCAGCTGCGGGTGAAATCTGATTACGCTCAGTGAGTAATGTGAAAAGCAAGAGCAGTTTAACAGTTATTAAGAACCGATCTACTGCAGTACCAGGTAGAGGGAGTCTGTCCTCCCCCTCCTCCCCCCTCGTCCCCTCCCCTCTCCTCCCCCTTCCCTCTCCTCCAAATACATTCATAACCATCACTTATTTAAATATAATCCATTGTTTTTTTCAACCCCTCTTGAGTCTTGTTTTTGATTTGGTGCTTTTTTTTATTTTAAATTATTTTAAATTATTTTAACAGCCGTCGGAGGGAACGCCGTGAAAATCTATTTATTTTCTCATTTGTTGAACGACATCAATGAACTTTTTTTTTTTTTCATTTCAAATAAACATTAAAACAGAGTCACAGAGAAACAAAAAGGTTTGTGAGGTTTGGTTACTCACCATTCAGGAACACAGGTGGAGTTAACGAGACG